ACTCCACTCCCTCACTCCACTCCCTCACTCCACTCCCTCACTCCACTCCCTCACTTTACTCCCTCACTCCACTCCCTCACTCCACTCCCTCACTCCACTCCCTCACTCCACTCCCTCACTCCACTCCCTCACTCCACTCCCTCACTCACTCACTCACTCACTTATTCTTACCTTGTAGAGATTCGATTCTTCATACTGTTCACAACTAATTGCTGCACGGCCGTGGATAGCACGAGAAATGTTCCAATGTGAGATGTATCAATGTGACACACGTAAAAGAAACACAAACAATAAGCGAAGTTTTTTTCATTCATGAATTGTATACTTTTAATTGTATGACACTTTTACTCGCGCACTTAATCGACAAAATAAAAAATTTATTAACGATTATAACGGATAATCACAATCGATCACTACCGATTGCACGAGAAATGTATCACTTGAAGAAACGCGTTAAATGCACAGGGTACGTTACTCGACGCGGAGACCGCGCGACGCGCGATAACAACAAGCAGGTTATATCGGTACTAGCGCTGCCGAGCGCGAACGTGTGTCACGTGATTGACGCGAGACGCTGCCATCTCTTGTGATTAACTGAAGTCTCCGAAAATATAAAAGGTATAACACTCACTTTCTTTTTTTAAATAGCTTATTAATCGTACGTTTTGCCTTTCTTTCGCAAGCTAACGATTATAACGGATAATCACAATCGATCACTACCGATTAATTATTCACTTAATCACTTGAAGAAACGCGTTAAATGCATAGTGTACGTTACTCGACGCGGAGACCGCGCGACGCGCGATAACAACAAGCAGGTTATATCGGTACTAGCGCTGCCGAGCGCGAACGTGTGTCACGTGATTGACGCGAGACGCTGCCATCTCTTGTGATTAACTGAAGTCTCCGAAAATATAAAAGGTATAACACTCACTTTCTTTTTTTAAATAGCTTATTAATCGTACGTTTTGCCTTTCTTTCGCAAGCAAGACATGAGAAAAATTATTCTTATGTTTCTGTGAATAGAAGATGTTCCATGTAAAAATGTGTTGGTCGCTCTAAAAAGAGCGGATTGTCTTTGGTCGCTCTGAAAAGAGCGGATTGCCTTTGGGTTCCGCCCCCTTACGGAGGGGCTCCACTTCCGGAAGATATAACCTAACCCAAACCTATATCCCAGAGGTGAATTATTACTAATAAAAATGTATCCTTCGGACATGGGTTGGATTTTTGCGTTTCTCTTCGACTTGCGATTTGCCAGTCCGACGTCCATTTTTAAATTTCATATTCATGTTCAGGAGGCAAAAATGCATAAGAATTGGGTATTCTTACCCATTATTTCATATAGATGGGTTTTCCGTAGGTTTATCCGCGTTTGATTGGATTTTTGCGTTTTTCTTCGATTTGCGAGTCCGACCGCCATTTTTAAGTTTTATATTCGTATTCAGGAGGCAAAAATACATAAGAATTGGGTATTCTTACCCATTATTTCATATAGGTGGGTTCTCCGAAGGTTTACCGAAAAATATTTCGCTTATTGCTTGTGTTTCTTATTACGTGTGTCACATTGAAACATCTCACATTGGAACAATTCTCGTGCTACCCATGGCCATGCAACAATTATTTGTGAACAGTATGAAGAATCGAATCTCTACAAGGTAAGAATAAGTGAGTGAGTGAGTGAGTGAATGAGAGAAGGGAGGAGGGAGGAAAGAGAGAGAGTGGGAGAGAGATAAAGAGAGGGAGGGGGTGTGGGAGAGAGAGAGAGAGAGAATGAATGAATGAATAAATGAATGAATCATTATTTATTAGGCGCTCCGGGACAGCGTCCCTCAAGCGTTAGATACATTATACACCTTGGATCGAGAGATTACAAAAATAAAAATAAAATAAACTAAACTAAGTAAAATAGAATAATAAAATATTATAGCAATAACTATAATACATATAAATATAACTATACATACATATATATACATACATTTAGACACGTATATGTGTGTGTGTTTGTGTGTGCGCGCGCGTGTGTGTATGTGTTTGTGTGTACACGTGTGTGTATGTAATTATGAGCTAGAGAGTGTTAGTGAGCACATATATAGCTGCGATTATGCAGATTTGGTGAGACGCGTGAGTAAAAGAATGTGCGCGTTACTTTAATGCAGTTAAAGTGAGTCAATATAATGCAAACAGATAGGATCCATTTCAGATGCCTTCACGGAGTAAATACATAAAAAATTTTGATTTGGATTTATTAATCATGGAGATAGCCCTGATTTCGCTTGAAATCACGTTCCAGAGCTCGGCAGCATAGCATCCAAACGATCTTTTGTAGAGTTCAGTGCGACACGGAGACAGAGCCAGAAGATCGCCAGGGGTTCTTGTACTGCGCGCTGACACGTTCTTTCGAGATTTGAACATGCAGAACAGGTTTTGAGGCCTCTTAGATTGCATGATTCTGTAGGTCAGGCATCCAACAAAATATCTCCGCCTAGCTCAGATCTTGAGCCAACCGAGTGTTTCAAAGTACGGTGTGATGTGCTCATCCCATTTAGCCCGGAAGATAAATCTGACACACGCGTTACAGGCTCTCTACAGCTTTAGATTAAATTCTCCCGTAATGTCTATAAGAACGGTACAGCAATAGTCAAATAGCGGGAAAATTAGTGCTACTATCAGTCGTGAGTGTAGAGATAGGGAGAAGAGATGTCCGCAAAGTTTAAACTGATATAGCGCGGCGTTGACTTTGGATACTGTCCTGGTCACTTGTTTGTCCCATGATAGAGTTTGAGATATGGTAAGACCTAGATACACGACCGACTCCCTGAATTGGACGATGGCGCCGTCTATAACAATCCTTGGTAAGGAATCAAACGGCAGACTGTTGATGTATCTGGCAGTTCCGAGAATCATTGCTGAAGTTTTCTTGGCGTTTAAAGTTAGCTTGTTGCTTACAGCCCAATCCACTACTCTCGTTATGTCCTTGTTGACTTTGAGAATCCTGTTGCACAAGTCACCGGGCTCAATGTGCAAGTAGATCATTAGATCATCGGCGTAAAAATTGTATTTACAGTGTCTCAACATTCCGCCGAAGTCAGACAGATACAGAGTGAAAAGAAGCGGTCCCAGCACTGAGCCCTGAGGAACCCCCCTCATGACTATCCTTTCGGAGGAAGACTCACCCGCAATGGCATCAGGCTCTGCCTGTCCTTTCCTGTGCAGGTACGCACACAACCATCTCAAAGATGCAAAGGAAAACTGTAGTTGACTCAGTTTATTGATGAGAATATGATGACTGACATTGTCGAAGGCCTTCGTAAAGTCAAAAAATACAGCAATGGTCACCCTTCTGTGATCTGCAGCCTGTCGTATGTGGTCCATTACTTTGATTAAGGCCTTTTGCGTGGAATGGCCCTTTCTATAGGCTGCCTGATGTGGATCCAACAAGTCGAAAGTCTCAAGATGCTCAGTGATCCGCTCAGTCACCAAGCGCTCCAATGCTTTTCAGATCATGCACAGAATGGAAATTGGTCTGTAATGCTGCATGTTAGATGGACATTTAACTTTAGGTAGTCGACAGATGAGAGCTGACTTCCACACATTAGGAAAAACGCTGTTGGTGAGGCAGTAATTGAAAATGTGAGTGACAAATGGCAGGATGCACGGCAGAGCCAAAGAGACAAGTCTCAGAGTGATGCAGTCTATTCCCACAGCATTGGATTTGTTGCGGGATAGCTCTCGTACAACCATCTGTGGTTCAATGTTATACCAATAAAGTTTCGAGTCATCATACGTCTGGTTTCCTAGGTATATGTGCTCGGGTTCCTCCCCTGCTCCCGCGCTGGATGAAGAGTGCGCAAAATGTTCGTTGAGTTCCTCAATCGTGAAAAGGAGCCTAGCATTCGAGGATTTGGATTTAATGAGTCCCAGATGTCGCAACTTCCTCCAAGTGTCGTCCGGATCGTTGGAGTTATTTAATGTCTTAAAATAATAATCACATTTAGCAGCGCGAACCATTTCCTGAACCCGATTTCTAAGAACTCTGTAGGTTTTGTATTCGGCCTCACACCTCCTTCTCCTCCATTCCCTTCTTGCTCTGTTCCTCTCCTTCATTTTAGCCCTGATTTCCTCAGACAGCCACGGCGCAGGTAAATGCTTCGGTTTTATGTTCCGATACGGGGCATGGTTGTTGTAGCATCCCAGAAGAAAGTTGTTGAGTATATTTATCTTCACATTCACATCATGCGCCGTGAGTAGAGAATTCCAATCACAGGCAGTGAGATCATCATGGAAGTCGTTGATATTAAAAGACCGAAAGTCCTTTGCGCAAATGTACCGATTGAGATGGCGTTGGATCTTTATTTTGTAGGTAACATTAATCAGGTCGTGAAAGAAAGCACACATCATGTTGGTCAAACGATACGAGTTTATCGGCGTATCAATTATACCCAAATCTAAGGTCGAGGAAAAACCCTGCGTATGATGAGTAGGGCATCAAGAATAGATTCGAGGATTCAACAAAAGATAATATCTGCTTCGAGTCATAGGTGATGGAACCCAGATCAGCATTGAAGTCCCCCAAGGTGATGGAGTGCTTGTAAGAAATTGAAGCATCCAAAAACACGTTGAAGAAATCCGCCAGATAACCACAATGTGGAGGACGATAGACAACCGCCAGGAGCAGTCTAAAACAATTGACAGAGAAGATCTCGGGCATTATATACTCAGGCTTTCCACATTCGCCCTCAGACTGCCTCACAATCCCAGCCTGCAAAACATTAGACAGAAAGAACGCCACACCGCCGTTCTTTCCCGTTCTGTCACATCTGAAGAATTGGTAACCCTGAAGAGCCACTAGATGATCCGACATGGATGGTTTCAGCCACGTCTCTGACAGACATATGATGTGGTAATTCGACGCCAGAAAAAAAGAACGAAACTCGTCAAGGTGTGCGAACAAGGATTGACAGTTGACATGACATATACGCAAATGATTATGTGTAACACTATCCATAATTTACATGCTTGATTTTGTCCATGAGTCTGCGTCGTAGGATCGGACATCTATTGCCATCCAATGCAGAGTGAGAATGTCCTTCACTTGAAGACCACTTTTTGCAATTTCCACATGCAGCCATCTCTATTCTTTTTACACAGTCTTTTAGCTCATGGTTACCGGCACAGTGCCCACAGAGTGCTGTAGACTTGCAATCCTTGGCGTAATGACCAAAGGCTAGGCATTTAAAACACTGTAGCACTCTTACATGGTCTGAGAAACTGCACGCCGAATAATTGATGTACACATGCTCCTCTCTTAACAACAGGCTCCGAATATCCGGCGTTACCTCGACAATGCAGTTAGTGGTCGTGCGGTTGCTTTTAGGAGGAAATATGTAGACAACCTGAAGGTGCATCTTCGACTTGTCTTGCTCCTTCAGATTCAGAGCCACGATTTCCGACTCAACCTCACCCGCAAATAACCCTTGGGGAACTCCATTGATAATTAATCTCGGGTTGAGCTTGATCTCCTGTTCGATTTTCAATCCTGCCTTGACAAGTTCCGATGAGTCCTTCATTTTTGTCAGATCAACCGAGTGGGCCTCGATACGCAACCCGTTATTGCGAGCTAGCGTGATCCTTTTGACTCTGAGATCGAAATCAGATGGCCTAACTGCCCTTACAAGTGCTTCCTTAGTGTCTCTTGACGTGCCATACTTCTCCCTATTGTTGTCGCATGGGAGAATTAAAAAATCCGTGGTCTTCTGGATCTCAAGATCCGGACCCCGAGCAACACGTACCCTCGACCTCTCAGGCCTGACGACAGAGGCATAAGAGCGAGGAGCATTAAGAGATTCGTCTCCCGCGATCTCCCCCCCCCCCCCCCCCNNNNACATTGGATGCAGACAAGAAATCGGAGCAAAATTTCGACAGTGCGCCAGTGATGGCATCCTTTACCTCACCTATGGATGGAGAGGACATAGATGCATTATTTTCGAACATAAATAGACAGGCTGCCGAAAGATCGAAAAAGGCCTCCTTGCATACTCGAAACGCGGACTCGATCTGTAGTTTCTTCTCAGCAGTCTCTTTGCTGGGTAACAGTATTTTCGCAACTGTATCATTATGCGAATTTATAGAGTTTCTCAGAGCATTGATGCGAGAAACATTCATAATATTGTTCGCAGATTTGTCTAAGGCACCCGATAGATTCAAGACGGGAAGTCGTTTGGTTAACTCCCGCTTATTCGCACAGGCACCGCGCTCATTGTCCTCTCTGTCTTGTTTTGACATTTCGGTTGTTTTTGTTTTGCCTCAGGAACCGTCGATCTTCCGAGACGCACGCACGCCTCGCCTCCCGCTGTCAAACGATCCTTGTTCGAGAAGGTTCCACCGAGCCAGCGACAAAAAACAATTGTTACGCACTGGACCGCACGGACACCAGCACAGCCGGTGCGTTGACAAGCAAGGAAAAAACAGCTTTAATATTCCTGCACCAAAAAGCAAGGCCCCGAAGAGCAAAAAGCAGCAGAAAATGATTCTCAAAAACAGAACGACTTAAAGCACGACTAAGTATACTCACGCGCAGAAAGAGAGAGAGAAAGAGAGAGGGTGAGAGGGAGAGAGGGAGAGAGAAAAAGCTTCATTTATTAGGCGCTCTGGGATGAGTCCCTTCAAGCGCAATAAATAAAGATACATTTAAAAAGTGTATAACAAAATATGATTGTGACGTACATATAGAGTGAGTGTATCTGTAAATGTATGTATAAATGTCTAAATGTGTAAGTATATAAGTGTGCGCTATTTGTATATACATGTGTAAATGTGTAAATGTAAAAGTATGCACTATGTCCATAAACATGTGCAAAAAAGAACAATATGTATGTAAAAATATGTGTATAGCTAGACTTTAAATATATATATATATATAATCTTTAAGGTATGCCAGAGAGAAATGCCAGAACATCCAAAGTCATGACCTTAGTCATGATGGTGCACAAGCGAGCAAATGCGTATAAAGCTTTTGTTTAAAATCACTCAGTGTCGTGGCATTCCGGATGGATGGAGGAAGACCATTCGATAACCTAACCGATGAAAGTCTGAAAGAGCGTTTATACAATTCAGTTCTGCACTGTGGCTGAAATAAAATATCCTTCGGAGCTCTAGTGGCACGGTCCGTTGTTGTGCTCCTGCAATTAAAGTTGGAATGCAGAAGACTTGGTTGTTTAGTTTGAAATATCTTATACAATAAGCATCCAACGAAGTAGACCCTCCGAGAATCGACTTTAAGCCAACGTAGCCTTTCGTAGTAAGGTATAATGTGCGCGTCAGTCCTCACGTTAAAAATAAATCTAATACAGGAATTCACTGCTCTATGAAGTCTCAGATTATGTTCGGCAGTCATGTCAATATAAACTGCACAGCAATAATCGACATGTGGATAGATTAATGAAATGACGAGCTTAGATTTGAGAGTTTCAGGAAATAAGTGCCTGCAAAGTTTTAACTGATATAGGGCTGAATGGATCTTATTTGCCATAGTAGTAACTTATTTCTCCCAAGATAAAGTATTCATGATCGTAACACCAAGATACTTAATAGATGTAAAATAATGAATTGTGGATCTATCCACCTTTATTTCAGGAAGGATAATCAGATCAATGGTATTGACAAATCTCGAGGTTCCCAGAATTATAGCCTGAGTCTTATCTGAGTTTAAGATGAGCTTGTTAGCAGTAAACCAGCCAAGAATAGCATCAATGTCCTCATTGACCTTCCGGATAGTGTCAGATAAATCCCTTGGTTCACAATGAATGTAGGCTTGGAGATCGTCAGCATAAAAATTGTATTTGCAGTGTTTGACCACAAAACCAAAGTCAGCTAAATATAAAGTGAATAGCAAGGGTCCCAGAACAGAACCCTGAGGCACACCGGCCCTGATAAGAGATGGCGACGAGACAGTACCCTCCATGCCATCCTTAACCGCCTGAGTCCGCTCCGTCAGATAAAAGTGTATTGAACATAAGACATTATCAGAAAAGTTTAAGCTCTTCAACTTCCTGAGCAGTATGAAATAATATACCCTGTCAAAAGCCTTCGAAAAATCGAAGAACACAGACACAGTGACCATCCTACGATCCGCCGCATGTCTCACTTCGTCCAGCATTCTAATCAGACAAGTTTGTGTAGAGTGGTTGTACCGATAAGCGGATTGACATGGATCGTAAAGGCCAGAATCTTTAAGGTAGGCACGAATCTGCACGCAGACTATACGCTCCAGAGCCTTCGACAATGTAGGAAGGATCCCAAGATAGGCAGTATACAGTGGATTGTTAATTTCAACAATCTCAGAGAAATGCCGTCCACTCCAATTGCATTAGATTTGGCCATGGAAATCATCCTCGCGATATCCATCGGCACAACATAATTCCAGTGGAAACCCTTGTCATCAAAATCTCCTGTATACAGGGTGTCCCAAAACACCCTTGATAACGCTCGTGAGCAGGTAGAGCACAGTAAACTGAACAGAAAAGTCCTGTACCATTTTTTAATATAACGCTTAATAAAGAAGCTATTATTGAGTAAATTCTGGCCAATCAGCGCCGACTTTTAGCCGGACGCATGTCAGTGAGCCGCCCGTCTGTAATGTGCGTCGCCGTAGCAACGGGGCGCTCACGCACACTACCAGGCGCGCGGCTAAAGGTCGACACTGATTGGCCAAACTTTATTCAATAACTCCTTTATTAAGCGTTAATAAAGCGTTATAACTCCTTTATTAAGCATCTTTTTAACTTCTCCTTGATGAATGGAGTTTTTCCAAGGCAGTGGAAATCGGCTCTTATCTGTCCGATTCCTTCTTCTGGCTAGATCTCTATTCCGCATCGCCAAACGTATCTCTTCAGTCAGCCATGGGGCGGGCAAATTCTTGAAGTATTGTCGCCTCAGAGGTACATGAGAGTCAAATATGCCAAGCAGTTTAGTAATAAAAGCCTCAATTTTTTCATCAATGTTATCTGCGCCTAAAACGTCAGTCCAGTCGATGTCACTAACATCAGGTTGGAAGGATGTTGCATCAAAATCACGCCAATCCCTGCAAATAACGAGCCTTCCACGACGCCGTTATAGTTTGATTCCGTATCTTATAAAGATAAGATCATGAGCTGATAGAAATGCTACTCCGTGCTGACCAGATAAATTGAACCAAATTCTTTGAGTTTATCCATGTCATCAATAATGCACAGATCTAACAGCGTGCTGGAATTCCTCAGGTGGTGAGTGGATATGAACGGCACAAGATATAGGTTAGACGCAAAGATAAAGGTGCCCAACTGCTGGCTATCAAACGTGATCTGATTCATATCGGCATTGAAATCTCTTAGGATGACCGAATGCCTATAGTTTACTTGACATTCTAAGAATGACTGGAAAAACTCGTTCAGGTGACCTGAGTTCGGAGGTCGATATACCACGGCTAGCAAGAGTTTAGACCGGTCATTAAATAAGATCTCCGCAATAATAAATTCAGGTCTGGCAGTAAGAGACCCCGCAGAGCAACAAAGAATGATGGCACGAAGATGATCTGATAAATAAAATGCCACTCCACCATCAGATCTTCCAACTCTATCGCACCTGAAGAGAGTATACCCAGGCAGTCTAATCATAGCGTCAGTAATAGCAGGCCGAAGCCACGTCTCCGACATGCAGATGATATGAAAATCAGCACTGCAGAAGAAGTGACGAAACTCATCAATATGCGCGAAGAGAGATTGATAATTGACATGGCAAATTTTAAGATCCTCGAAGTCATTTGCTATATCATTCATAGCTGGTGTTGGCTATTTTGTCCTTGATTTTCCTATCCAGTATTGTATACTTTGCAGCATCCGTGGCGGAGTGAGCCATATCACCATGAGATACATGATGCCGCTCACAGTTCAGACATTTAGATGATTTATCTTTGTTCTTGCAATCCTTCATCTCGTGAGCTCCAGCACAATGCCCGCAAGAAGGCCCCCCTTGCAATCCTTGGCGATGTGTCCAAACGAGAGACATCTATAACATTGTAGAATCCTCACATGATCCGCGAAACAGCAGGCAGAGTAACGTAAATAGATCCGTCCGCATCTAAGTAAAGCCTTGCGTACAACTGATGAAACCTCCAGAATGCAACTTGTGATATGTTTGTTTTGTTTTGGCGTAAAAATATAAACAACTTTCACGTCACTCGCAGAAACATCACCCAGGTTCTGAGCAATAAGCTCATCTCTAATCTCTTCAGCCAACATTTCAGCAGGTACTCAATGTATAATAAGACTAGGATTTGATTTCGTATT